TAGGTTTTCTAATGTTTACATCATATTGATTGACTGTTGAGAAATATCTGCTACTGCTGGAAGTTCCAGTTTCAGGCAAATGTTGTGATAAGCATCTGTTTTGTTAATGTTCGTGTCAGGAACAATAATAAACCATAGTACATACAGATATTAATAGTTGATGAACGTGTGTGATTCAGCGTGGGACTCACTATAAATGTGTTAACTTGAAATCTGCTCAGCTGCGTTTGGTGGGGAAGACAAAACAATGTGTGCAATCCTTTTATATGTGAACAGGAAAATGCTGAACTTTTTGCACATTAACATGCAACTGAGAATTAATCATACGGCATCCTGGCAGTTACCCTATTCACTTCATCCCAGTGATGTGAAATAAGTGGGGAAACTATTTTGGACCTACAGAAGTTACAGTCTATTACATCAATTTACTAATAAATCAGTATCTCAGTATATTTGTATATGTGTCTGTTCTTTGCCTACTTCGACAATCATTTAGCTTATCAGCTTCAGATAGAGAATGTGGTTGCCGAGGGGGGCTGAGCATGGTTGTTTGGATGAGCTGCTGTAAGCTGTTCTGTTACCAGAGATATCTGGAGAGCAACTGCTCAATGCACCACTCTGTGTGCAGGGCATTGACTCCCAAACTGTAGGGTGGGCGTGAAGCCACTGTGAGTGCCTTCATATGGACAATGAAGTGGAAAACATGGAAGTGAAACAAAGGCAAATTATTTGATCATTTTTTAATTCTCTCCCTGTAAGGATGAGAGATGCCAAAATTATGCAATTTTTCTCAGCAATATGCTGCAAAGACAAGCGTGCTGATTAGATATTCAACTTCATTTTATTCAATTAAGCATCTGTGAAGTATGGTTTGCTGCTACAAATCGAAGCTTAAAATATGCCACATTTCTCCCCAAGTTTCATTTATTCTGCATGACTCATTTATAAAAAATATCATGCTTTAAACTAAACTCTGTAGAAAAACAAAAACAACTCCTGATCTCTTAACCACAACTAAGAAACCATGACTGGCAACAGTCACATGCCAACAATTTGCATTGGGAGGAAAACTTGAACATATGCAAAAAATAAAATAATGAAACAAAGCTCAAAAACTGTATAAAGAGGAGAAAGTTACGAACGGGTTGTTAAAATGTAACTTTCAGGAGCAATGACGTCAGAAAGCCCGTCATTACCCGCAGCAATTTTCACACCTTAAAAAAAACGAAAAAAACAAACAAAAACAAAACACTTTCGTAAACATAGTTAATGTTTGCAAAGAAAAGGTAAAAAAGGTATAAACTCAAATCCATGTCCTCTCTTAAACCTGACCTTGTTGAATTAAATCCACCTGACACTTTTGCACTTAAGCAACAACTGAAAATTAAATTTAAAAGCATAATTTAAAATATATAAAGTCTAAAAATATTAAGCCAGCACTGACTTTTTGTTTTGACCCGGACCCAAATGACAGTCTCCCGTGTTAAAAAGGGTCCATTCATCCACCGCAGCCTGCTCCTTACACTGCTTCTCTTTATATCAGCTCACCTGACTTCTGAAGGCAAAACTTCAGAAGAACGCCCCCCACCCCACAAACATCAACCATGTGTTAGAAAGCTTTTTCAAGTTTTCCTTTTGGTAAAAAGCCTCGAAGATAATCATCTGTAACATGTTAAAAAAATAAATAAATAAAAGGGTTGTGTCATCTGTGGACACAAAATATTGCATTACACACCCACAATTACCACTTGCGACACTAGTTTTAACGTTTTTAAGGTTATGACATCTCAACTATGTGGCTGGTATGATATGTAGCGCTGATCCTGGAACAATATTAATCATCCAGTTGCAGGAACAACACAAACATGGGGAAATCCAGTATGTCATACTGGCACCATGAGAACTAAACCATAAACCTAAATGTAAGGCTAAGGGTAAGTCCAAAAAAAAAAAACTTTTAACTTTGTCTAACTGACAAATGGCTTCATTCATGTTGCTTGGACAAAGCTTGTTCAACCACCTTTCAAGCAGGAAAAAAATGATTCATGTAGCCAACAACTGCAGGTGTCCTCTTATCAAAACAGCAACTTCATGATTGCCTGCATGTTACACATCTAGAGGAAATATACTTGTAGCTAGAAGTATTAAAACAAGGCTTACACTCTTCCCAAACAGGCAACAATACAATGAAATAAAAGCCTTATTCAGATGCTTCTACATAGCTGCAAGCGCACTATTCTTTCTGCATACATGAACAGAATGGCCCAAATCTAACAATGGAAAACTAGTCCTGACTGAAATTTGAATACTCCTGTCATAGGAATTACTCACCTGGTAAATCTCCAGAACCAGACATGGTTGGAGTAAAGATGAGGAACAAGTTAGACCAGAATAGGACCTAAAAAAGAAGAAAGGAGATTCAACATGTGTTTTTTCCATAAATATTTACCCCCCTCTGATTAAAACAGCAACTCATAAACAAAGAGTAGAACAGTGGTTGACAGGCTCCTACCTTCCCGTTTTGCTGCACTGGTGTAAACTAGGTGGTTTGGTGGGTTTTGTTATGATGGTTGGTGAGACACACAGAAACGCCTCTGGCAATGCATTGTGGGAGAGCAGCAAGGCCAGCAGAGCAACTACAGAGACACCAGAGTTCAAAAGGTCAGCTGTGAGAAATTTCAGTTTGAAGGCAAACCCTTGTTACACTAAATTAAGAGAGGTTGAACATCCTTCGTCGAATACGACAACAATACTTTATGAAACTGTAATGTTGTAAAAAATGTATTTTAAGGCATGAAAGAGCGCAAAACCAACTATAATCTCAAAGTGAAAGAGAAACATCTAGTGCTACCGAGAAAGATAGTGAAATGAATGAGCACAGACCATTATCCTGTTCTGTAACACTGACATAGCCACCGCTTGCCTGCAGGATTATTCCAGAGGATGATTGCAGACAGGCTGCATTACATAATCCCTGCTGCAGCAGCAAGGTGCATGCAACACCGGTAATGACCACTTCAAAATAAAAGCTTAGATTTGAATCAGGCACACGCTGAAGGTTTCCTTAAACACATATTTCCTACCACATGGAACAAAAACATGCACGCCATACCCTCCAACACTGTAAACACGACGGCTGGGAGGATGCAGAGGTGACTGACTGGTGATCTTGGAAATAAACAAACTGCGACCTCTTCCGGGACAATTTCTCAAACTATCATGCAGAAATTTATCTGTCTAAGAATTTCAATCACAGGGTGAATTAAAAGAAGCTTAAAGCAGATATATGGAGAAATCGTCACAGGGTTAGCCGTAATAAAGGCCACTGCCCCTGCACACGCAGAACTCCACTGAGGAAATTCGTATTTTATAGTCTAATGTTTTAAAGGTAACCGCCCCATGCCTGTACAATTGCTTTTGGGATAACATATTATCATGATTTTAAATTCAGAAGCTAATGAGCCAATAGCATGCCATGAGATTCCTGCACGCCGATAATGTGCAGGTCAAAGAGAATAGATAGGTCTATAACAATTTAGCACAGCTTCACTAAAACTGGTGCAGTTTGGCACGTTTTAAACCTTCCCGAATTTGAGAGTGGTTGTTACATATTCACAAAAAGCCTAGCACTGAGTTTTTCACGTTTACAAAACAAACCAAAACCTGCCGCATAGTTCAGTTATTTATTTTCTGAGTGGAGTCTGGCGGAACGAGATAGCGGAACCAGTCTGAGCTGGACAAAAAGACACAAAACAGCTGACGACTGACGGTATTTTAAAACGGTTTTATCAGCAAAGTTAGCATTGCTTTGTTTGCCTTTTCTTACCGGAGGTAATGACGGCTTCAAAGTGACGATTGAAATATGGATGACCCTCCAATGTCGACCAGCGCGCGAAGAGAACAACAGACTTGTTGGGTAGCAGCCATTATTGGGTTCGATAAATAACAGCCGCTTCCTTGACGGTTCCCTTTGCTTGTTCTCGCGCATTCTCATCTCATCGCGAGAATTGGCCATCACACGTGTGCCTTTCCGTACTTGAGAGGACACTGTCACAGTCATTGGGTGTAACGCAGTACCTGTAACAGTACCGGTAACTACAAATAAAAACAATTTCTACTTCAAAAATCTTTTTTTTCTTTGTTATGTTTTATTAAAATAACCTCTTATATTTAAATATTAGATCATGATCTAATATTTAATAATAAACTTTTTTTTTATATATTATCTCTAACAAATTAACGCCAATGCAATTGTGATTAAAAAAAAAAATAGCAAGAAAAAATAAAAATAGATGCAGCTTACTGGTAAGTTGTTATGGTGAGCTATTTTTAGAACAGGCCCGTGGGCGACTCATGTGGTCCTTGCGGGCGACCTGGTGCCCGCGGGCACCGTGTTGGTGACCCCTGATGTAAATGTTAATAAAAACACAGCTAATGAGTAAAAAATTGTTACAAAACTAATAATACTGCAAACACTTCTACACTCTGCCTTTGGTCAAATATAATTTTACAGCCGTGCTGAACATTTTATGCAACCAATTTCACATAAACAAAAACTAAGCAACATCTTATTGTCATGAGTTTATATATACTCACTGATTTACTAAAACCTGTGCTTACATTTGAACTTACATTATGTGTAATTGTTTTAGTTGTTCAGTGTTTGTCTGTAACATAAGTGAGTGTTTGTCTCCGCCTAGCGGCTGACTTGCATCATTTTAATGTCTAACTTCACTGGCTACCTGCATTTTCTTCAGGTACAGCCTATATAAAGTCCAACCTGACATACAACACATTAATGAAGGGAGAACACCTCTTCAGCATTTAGCACAGGTGTACAGGTAAAGTGTTTGGCGGTGTTGGAGGAGCATGCAGCACACATTCCCCGCACAGCCAAGATCAGGGCGTGGTGGTAACTCGTTTATTACAGGTTACAAACTATGTGGCCATTGAGACGAAGCGCAGTCAGTTTGAACTTTGTAGGTCGTGAGCAGCGTTTTCGCCCTGCGCCCTCCCACTTTGTGGCGCGCACACCAGGATTTGCATACAGAGGAGTAGAGCGCCCGCCTCCCTCAAGAGTTTGGTTTTCCTTTCCAAGCAGTACGTTTCTGACCAGACTTTGCTCGGCAGAGGTGGAAGTTAAACTCGGGTGGATCGACTCCTCCGCCCAGCCAGCGCTGACAGACCTGCTCTGTTTTATCCCGCTGTGCGTTTTCCCCACTTCAGCTGTCGCTCCGTCGGTTTTGTGACGTTCTGGGCCGATCCATCAAGATGTCTCAGATGAACAAGAAAACGATCACGACGACGACCAGCTTCAGGAATCTACAGGCCTCTCCGGAGCCGATGGTTACAAGGCTCGTCTCCCCCAGCCCTGTGTTCTCCGGGAGCTCCGTGTCGTCGGTGACACCGATGTCTCAGGTGTCTCAGGTGTCCGCGGTGCCGTACGCGGTAAACGGCGCAAGCTATGGGACGTTGCGGTACCTGGTCCCTGTGCAGCAGCAGCAGCAGCAGCAGTCCTTCGTCCTGATGCAGCAGCCTATGATGCAGCAGCCTGTGATGCAGCAGGTGGTGTCCCCGATGTACCTGCAGAATATGCAACAGCTGAGCATCAGCAACCAAAACGACTACATGTACCAGGATCTCAGCATGACAGAGGTGAGGTCATGCGCGCATTCAACCAGTATTCCCCCCACAACTCTTATTATTTAGTCAGTTCAAAAGTCTAAGAAATACTGGGAGTCAAACCAAAAAAGGAATATGGTTTACTGACAGCAACTAAGAATGAAGATTTCTTAAGATATGTTATTTGCAATACCCACAATAATCACCCACATTAAACTCTTCTTTGTTGGTGTGATGCAAAACACCACAGAGAGTTTCCAAAACATGAGATCCTTGCAGAAGCTTCATTAGAAATCAGATATCTTCAGGCAGCACTTTCAGGGATTTCTTTTTAATATAAAAATTACTTTTTTCCACCACTGCTTTTATATTACTTGTGTTTGTTTTCCATGTGTGTTTGAAATTAATCATCTGACATTTTAATGATCACTAAATAACTCATTATTGGTTAACACAACAAAACACACCTTTCAACTTTTCATGTATTTTGAAATGTATTTTCTTTGGACGCCTGGAATGTAAATGTGTCTCTAAAGCACATTCGGTTATCTTCTGTTATTTACATTAGATATAAATAAACTAGACATTTTTCATACTGTTATACTGTTATATGTTTGCATTTCCCCCAAAATAATTTATTTAACACAGTACAGTGGGCTACGTACTGACTGATTTCACTCACTAAAACTAAGCGTTTTACCCATTAGAGATAAAAACACAAGCATAAAATGCTAAATATGAGTATCAGTACAGATTTGGTGGTTTTGATGCAATCTACTAGATCTTGTGTTGGTATAAATCAGTTTCTGCTCACACATGGCTGTTAAGCATCTTTAGATGGGTGATTGGTTTAAGTTGCAGTCAGCTATCAGAGCAGGGAGGCTGCTGTGTGCAGATAGTATGGGTCAGCCATCAGGAAAGCATTAGCCATGTAAGCATGTTCCTAATATGGCATCAGCTTCTCATTTCTCTCACTGTGCTGTAAATTTTCTCAAGGCTGAGGTGATGTTTGTGCAGTTGAAGACACTTTTTCTGATTTGCTGGCATGAAGGAGGAATTTATATTTTTACTATGTAAATATAAAATTGAGCCTTTCCCATTTAATACGGACGATCGTGGCTCAAAGAGTTGGCAGTTTGTCTTGTAACCGGAAGGTTGCGGGTTCGAGCCCCGGCTCGGACAGTCTCGGTCACCTATCACCTACTGGTGATGGCCAGAGGGGTCGATATGGCAGCCTCTGTCAGTCTGCCCCAGGGCAGCTGTGGCTACAACTGTAGCTTGCCTCCACCAGTGTGAGAGTGAATGAATAGTGGAATTGTAAAGCGCCTCGAGGGCCCTGAAAAGCGCTATATAAATGCAATCCATTATACTGCATATTAGTGATGGGAATTCTGGCTCTTTCGGCTTGGCTCACTAAAAAGAGCCGGCTCTAAGGGCCGTTTCGTTCGCGACCGACACATCACTACTGCATATGCTATTTTTTTTAAGTGGGGTTTAGCAGAGTGAAAATATGTCATGTGTATCGCTTCATTAGATTAAAAACAATATGCAGAGTAAAGTAAATATCCAGAATAAAGCCAGAAATCATTTAGTTGAAAATTCTTTAACATTATTTTATGTCTTTAAAGAAATGCATGAGTACATAAATACTTACTTGTATTACAGCAAGAACTTCTGTTAATTATATACAAACACAGAGAGCACAACCAATCGCTCACATTGAAGCTACACATGGAGGTCGTCGTACCGTGTCTGCAAAACATCTTCTAGAAGGGGGCTAGTAGACTTGTTGAATAACTGTTAGTAGTTGAGGTGGGGGTCTTTTCTTTAGATTTAGATACTCTGATTACAGTATTTAGTTTCCTTAACTGATTACCCAGTAAATTATTGCTGTGCTGAAAAGGCAGATAATGTATGACCCAGATGTTCAGGCTTCAGGCTCCTATTAATGCTCAGGTAAAGGCACTTTTTTCTGCTCTTAGCTCTTTATGAGGTCAGTTAGAAAGGAAAATAGTCATCTCAGGCACATGACTCTGGCTGTGAGAACAGCAGCACCATCCACTTGTAGTTAAAATCATCAGTTTGTAAGGTGAAGCCAATTAGAAGAAGCCACGGGCTAACTGATGAATAACTTTAATGGTGAAGTATACAAAGCTACTATAGTAGAGGTAAGAATAAAGTGCTTTAAATGTCTTGCATTATCTCCCCACATTTATTCAAGGATTAAGGAACTTTTGCCAGCTTGGCCCATTGCCAGTAAAACAAACAGCCTAGAGCTCGGTCGCTGGCAAAATACGATATGGCATCATTAGCAGTACGTCCTCATGATCACTACCAAGTGTGCTCTAGGTCTCTTGAGTTTTGCCACCTGAGTACACTCAGCCTGAGCTCCGATTTCTCTGAATCTTAATCTTCCTTGATCATTTGTTGATTTACGAGACACCGGTGTGGTCCTCCAATTCCCAAAGTCTTGCCAGCGAACATTTCCCTGCTCCAGTAATTGCTTCCTGAATATGTTGGCCTCTGTGCCTGCAATGGTTTACACAAGGTTTCTGCTGCAGGCTGAAAACATTTGAATTATATCAGCTTTCTACATTTTTATCTGCCTCTTTAATGATGATTTTATTTCATATATCTAGCGTCAAGTGCAGCAGAATTGAAAAACTTCCTCTGCGTCTTTTTTTACTTTGGCTACTTACAATTTCAGGCTCATTCTGCTGCTTAAGCCACTGCATTGAAAGCTAAGTGCTCACACCGTGTGTGATAAAGAAGTGCTGCCACACCCCGTCTGACTGCTGAGGCGGCACGCCCTGACTTTTGAAGACTCATTTATTGTTCCACCTGATGGGATCTACATCTGCTCAAGTAGACTCTGGTGATCGAGTGTTTAACTTCGTCTTTCGTTTTTTTAATTATTGAAGGAGCTGAAGCTGATTTGTTGTGCCAGTAACTTACAGGACTTTCACTTTAGAAAAAGCTGCCATGCTCTATAGTTAGCTCTTAATGACTGGAGGCTGTGCATGTAGTATAGTAATGTAGTAGTACTACATGCTGTATTTGACCGTTTATCATTTTTATGTTACTCTTGGCACTCGTTTGCATTGTTTATAGTTCAAGTAATCATCAAAGGTGTTTGTTAACCCTTTATTGACCAAGATTCATAAAGGCCTCAAATACCTATTTTTTATCTTGGCTATAAAATTGTAAAAAGATTAAAATCTCATCATTCAGGAAAGTAAGGGAATAGAAGCAGACATAGTAAATCTAGGCAGAGGGGATTCGTTCTGTGTTCAGACAACAATACCTTCTGAATGTCTTGCGCTGTCATTATACACTGATTATTCCCATACAGCCTTCTTTCTTAAACTGTTTAATTTTGTCTCTGTTGGAAACGGTAATGAAGTTGCAGTCATTTAAAGAGGACTTGTAAAATGGGCTTGCTAGCAGGCCCATGGTAGATAAAGGGTTAAACATCATTTTTGAAACAGTTCGTTGTCCAGACGTCTCACTTTAATAGGACTGACTGATTAGGAATGGGAATTCGAGTAACTTACAAGAGCATCCTGGAGAATTGCACACAACATATCACAATTCAATGCCTCAGTGGGCAAGAAAGGAAAAAATAAGAGCCACAAAGTAGGGATTCTCATGGGTAAAGCATGTTTCATTTAAAATACAACATCTGGCGCTGGTGTATTGGTGTACCGATTTGTTTTCTGATTTTTAAAGCATTGCAAAACTTTTAATTGGCGTGTGCATCCGTGTATACTTTTATTATCAATAGATTCATGGGGAAAAATAGCTGAGCATTTCAGATTTCTACTGTGTCTTAGCTGCAAACCTCATGACCCATGGACCGCTTTTTGTCTAATTCACAGCTTGTTTGCCTCATTGGAATGTATTTTGATTTTTACTGGCTCGGATTCAATTTTTGGTTTTGTTAATGCCTTCAGAGTGAAAAAAAAAACAAGTGTCAACAATTCTCACAATGTCAGGAAGCCCTTTTTTAATATTTCTAAAGCATAGAAGGCTAAAGCAGCTGTATTCAAATTTCTGGCATGTTGTTGCTGGGTAGACGCCCTCAAATGGGAAATAATAAGCTTTCTAATTTTTCCAAGTTGCACTTAACTTCCCAATGAGCTCCATTTATTTTGCACTGTTATTTATTAGTGCTCTGAACTGGATATCCTGAAGGTCATGATACAAAATCACAAATTCAGATTTATTTAAACACACTGTATGTTGGACATAGAGTTTGTATACCATGTAATTATTTATTTGAAGAGTACAAGGAAGAACCTGGGAAACGAATAAGTAAAATGGGGTTGAGTGTTGTAGGACAGTGAGGCCATGTTTGGGTCTAACAGAGCAAGATTCATGTTACTAACGGGCCTCAGCTTCTGACTGCTCTGATGGCTCAGTTTCAGATTCAGTTTTTTCTACTAGTGGATTCATATTGCATCACAGAGTGGTGCAGCTTGTTTCAAACAGGGCTTCTCAAAGCCCAGTATAAGATAAATGATGATTATTTTGATGGGGTTCAATGGGTTTTATGGGTGTCCCAAGGACTGAGGTCTCTTGTAGTTCTCTTTATGTCTGACAGTCTCTTCTTTCTTCTCTCCCTCTTTTGCCAACTGTTTCAGAGCACCAGCAGGAAGTCTTCATCTGTGTTCAGCCATTCAACCAGTCCTATCAAGAGCCCTGCGACAAGTGTTGAGGAGGAGGTAAGGACCTCACATTCACCCAGTCACAAAAGCCTCCTTACTGGGTACAAAATGCTCTATAAAGCAGAAGTCTCTGTACTGCCTAAGCATTAGCTCATCACCAGGGATGGGTTTTTCACGATTCCGATTCCATTTTCGATTCTGTTTAACGATTCGATTCTTTATCGATTCTTTTTTTAAAAAGGAGAACACTAAGGTCGATTAGCTTAGAACTTTGTTTTATATCTTCTCTTTGAACAAGATAGAAATTTAGAGGTAACATGGCCTTACAAACCCAACAGTGAGATCTTAAGAGATCCACAGCCTACGGCTCTTCAATGGGTGTCACAGGGTCCCCAGGAAAAAAATTGTAAATGTAAAATAATAAAATAAATATTCTTCTGTAGCAATAACAAAGTATAACATAAATTATTCTGTAGCAATTACACAAGAATATCCAGTAATGTCCCTGCCTACAATTAAACACATTCACTTACCGAAAATCGAGGGCATCTGCTGTGGCAAACTTAGACACTGCTCGGTGACATTCGTCTATCCTGGCCTGAAAGGAGACGCTACCGGTAGACTGCAGCGAGAACTGCCAGCATCTGAGCCAGACTCTGTCTGTCTCTCTCATCATAGTCACCTAAATGCACAGTAATGGCAGGTTTTGTAATAAGGCAGATCGCGCTAACATAATATGCACTGTTAGTTGATTATTTACCTGCCGCATTAATGGGAGAGGACGTGCGAACGTTACCGCTGCTGCTGGGTTGGATTTCACGAGTCTGGAGCGAATTAAAAACATGACATTCATTTAAGGTCATCGTGTGTTTTGTGAACAAATACTTTTGCATATTCGTAGTGTTTCCTCCCTTAAATGAAATATCTACTTTGCAAGTATTGCAAGTTGCCCTGTTGTCATCCGTTCTCGTAAAGTATAACCAAACTTTTGAGCCTTTGAGCCGCTTAGCGACATGTTTCCTGCCAGGTAAATGACGCTCCGCAACGTGGTGACGTCATTCGGGGCGACTGGAATCAACAAGGGAATCGTTTGCAAAAATGGCAAACAATTCCAAGGAATTGGAACAGTGGGAACCGGTTCTCAACAAGAACCAGTTTTCGATACCCATCCCTACTCATCACTGATTTTAAAGCTACAAGAGCACAAGCTTCAAATCTATTTAAAGTATATTTAGTTTGTTTCATGGTGTTAAGATGAACGAAAAGTGCAAATAATGATAAGAATAATATTTGAAAAAAGTCAGCAGCAATAGGAATACAGGTCGAAACTCCACCAACAGACATTTCATGTCAGTGATGAACACATCATTAGGCAAATGAGACTGTAGCTTGTTATAACAAGTCAGAGGTGGGTCCATTGTCTGACAGTGTCATTTCAAGATTAAAAAGAAAAACTTAGAGAGAAGAGGTTTTGCACCACACCACAGTCTAGTTCAACAGGTTCATGCTGCAAGCATTCAAGAGCAAGGAAACCCCCAAACTGTGTTTGACATGTAAACGCAAAGGATGGACTGCATTACAGTTATATACAAATTAAATCAACAGTAATTCAACATAAATGTGAAGTTGTGAGGCAGAGAGTGACTGGACAGTTAAAACGTTTAAATCTATCTTTTGTTTCTGCCGCATTTCAGCGAATATTTAAACATGTACATTAGTTGTGTGGTTAGAAACATGCTGCACATTGATGTCTAATCACCGAAAGACTGTTTGCTTGTACCTGAGCATCAGCACTGATGCAACAAAAAAATAATCAAAATTTAAACCCAAAAGACAAGACTTCAACTTGTTATGAATCAAATTATGAATTTGATAATCTGAACACAGAAAAATCTGATCATAGTCCAATATTTTTGATACAACAATTGTTGGTTTCTGTCTGTAGTTACAGACACTTTGAAGTCAAAGCTGTTTCTTCAACATGAAAATTGAAAAAGACGGAAAAATGCAGAAGGGGTGTGGAGTTCGTCTGTCAGTTAGGCAGGGACACACCCATCAGTGTCAACATGGGAACACTAGTTCATCAAAGTACAGTAGCATAGCAAGTGTTTTCTGTTTTTTATCTGGTTTTGTTTTAAAATGAATTCAGCCAGGGGCAACTCATTGCACATGCATGCTTTCTGTGCAGGCAGCAACGCCCTGCTTTACAGTCACACTGTTATCACAGCACTTTGTTCGTAATCACAGGACCAGAAACGGTCACAACATTGACAAACCATGCTGGGTGGGTGTGAAAATTGAGGTGTGTCTGGCCACTTCCCAGAGGCCTTTGCTGTAGGTGGATGCATTCTTTTGATTTGAACCTGCAGTGTCATGTATATGGCTGTTGTTACAGGAGGGAGGATCTTTGATTTATCGAGCTGGTGTGGCATTTTTTCTTGGCACAGCCGAAGAAAATCCTGTGTATCTAAACACACTGTTAAGTCTGTTAAGTCCACTAACAAATTAATCAGCCAGTCCACAGTTATGTAATACTTTATCACTGACATATTTCCACTTTTATGACCTTTGACTTGTTTATTGTGAAGGTAAAGCTGCTTTTGACCACTTGATAAAAAAGAAATGGCTTGTGTAAATGAAACCCTAGTTAACTATTCCAATGCTGTAAAACTTTGCAATTCAACAAATATTGTACCAGCCTGATTATAGGTAGCTACATTGCCTTATAAGCTTACAGCATTGTCATTTGCATGTTTTGATAGTCTGATGAAAATATCACAAGCCACTTTTTATCAGCATCGGTGAAGCCCGTCTGGTCAAACTCATTCACTTCCTGTGTTCTTTCTTTGCTTTTATGACTTTTTCATCTTTTTCTATGTCTTCTTTGGTATTTTTGTCTTTTTCTTCATTTCTTTTCACTTAATCTTAGAATAAAATGGTTTGATATGAAAAGGTAAAACTTCGTAATCACAGTCTTTGCTCGTACATCAACCATCTGCAGAGTGTCCTGGAGTTACCCCTGCCTCTAATCTGCTTTCGCTCCAACTTGCTCGCAGCGTTCTTTCCCGTCAGCTCGTCAGTGACAACTTATTACTAATCAGCTTTTCTTGACCTGCTTGAAGAATTCTTTCTTGATGATTTCATTTTTAGTGAGGATAAAGTGACATGAAGCAAATTGTGGTTGACCTGACTTTTTTTTTTCTCAGAAAAAGAAATGTCTGTCAGTCTGCTCCTGACTTTAATGATGGTTTTCATTTTTAACATTTTTTGAAGTCATTTGAAGCCACTTTGAGCACAAACGCCACTCTTACTGTGTGACACATTCTTGGAAATTTGACTAAAACATTTCTCAACACACAGCGTGTTTGTAATGAACACGGACCCACCGGTGAGGCCGGAAAGATTGGAGGGCTAAAATTGTCCATCTCCGTGGGAGGGGAACAAGTTCAGAAAACAAAACCCAAAACATGATGGATTCTTGTAGTGTGCAGAGACGGCTGGAGTGCTGTTGAATGTCACGGAGGCCTTTTGACCTTTGTTATCTGAGGACTGAAAGACATTCCCTGAGCACTTGAGAGCGGTGGGGATTGGTTATTAGATGCAAATGCAGATGCTAATTGGCAGACTGGTCATTTACCTCTCACCTTTTTCCATATTCATCATCAGCCATAGCGCAATGAGGCTGCACAGTGTGGATAAGAGGTAGAATCTGAAGCGTAAAGGGAAATTCACCCATGAGCTGCAACCTCCAGGCCTGAAAAGTGAAGCCAATGCATACCTGCTAGAAACTGCAGTTCTGCAGGCTGACTCCAAAGGCACATCAATCTTGTTAAAATGCCCATCTATACAATAGAAATATGCACACTTAAAGCATGATACAAAGAGCTGTAAAGGGCTTTTACTTTAGGGTAAGGTAACATATATACATTTAAATACTATGATCTGACTGTTAGATGCACAGGCGGTTACCTCACATCTGTTAGATTCTAACAGATGTGAGGTAACTGCCTCACATCTGTGTAGGTTCTACATCATCCAGGTAATCGTTGAGCGCTTGAAATGAAGAGAACTGGACTTGTGTGTTTCACCTCTCATCCAAAAGGCTTCTTCAGTTCTAAATGAACTGATAGAGAGTCCCAGCTACTCTTTTTGGAGGCTGTTCACATTTTTGTTTTGGTTTGAATGAAGTCATGTTTCATAGGCTGTACAGTGTGTGACAGCAGCAGATAAAATGTTTCCAAAAGCAACACGACGCGACTGATTAACAAAGAGTATCAGTTAACCCTGAATGGAAGGTGTGGCATAACTGAATCTTCTCAAGATCAAACTCTGTTTTGTAGATCTGACTTGTATCAGGCGCCTACAGAGAAGAAAATGAATATAGCGCTTCCTTTGCACTGACCAGGTAACCATTACCGCTGTGACCTACATCATGTTTGTCACCAGCCAAGTCTCGGCTTAAATTCTAGCGATAAACACGGGAAGATCAAAGGAGAAAAAAGTTGCCGGACCAGTTTTGAAAATGTTACCCACAGTGAAAAAAAACATTTAACCTATTCTCTCTCACACACACACACACAACATAAACAGACTTCCACAGGCACGCAAGGGACGCTTCTCTAAAATGCATCACTACCTAAAATGCTGCTGTCACAGAGCCAATCAGCGTGCAGTGACCGTAGGACACTCTACACCGCTCCACTGCTTTGCATGCAAATGAAAGTTTACAGTTGCAGGTCTGTACAGGCTGAAGTTAAAATTCTATATATTAGCATATTTATGACCTGGGAGCGGGTTTGACTGTGACATCTGGTGCAATGAAACGCAAATTTCACATGGTAGCAGATTCATGTGTTACATGAAGGCCCCAGCTTTTGCAAGGTATAGTAAAAAGCATGTCTGCACATGTGTTTCTTGCTTTATGTGAAGCGAAATCTTGTTGCTTGAGGATAGGATTCATTTTTATTAAACAGAAGGGCTTTTGTCTGTGTGGCAGTAGTTTTGGCCTGTTCATTCACCCTGCCAGGTTCATGTTTTCCCACTTTTGTGCGAAAGCA